TTAGGTCGGCAGTGCTGGTTATATGCGTTATTTGTTCCTCCCTGTTTGGAGGTTTGTTTTGTACTTTCTTTACTGTGTTAAGTAAAGTACGTTCTGCTAGTAGTTCGGTGTCCTGCGCTTGACTTTGTTTCCCGCATACACGTCACCTTGACAATAATAATTGTTAATAATTGTTCATGTTCTTAAAAACACCTCATTTTCAGACGTCACTGACTGACAACACAACGGGTAGAAACACCAAATATGTTCATTGTCTGAAAATGGTGCCGACAGAGAGGGCTACCTTGCTTCTAGCTCTTAGGAAACTTTGCAGTATTTTGTTTTTTTATGAAACACAAGCATTTTGCTACACCTGCAATAACATCTGCTAAACACATGTATGTGACCAATAAAATGTGATTTGATTTTGAAACAAATGTTATATGAACAGAAATGTAAATATAGTTTTTTAAAGAAACACATTATTTTCTGTATACTAAATCCTATAACTGTATGTTGAGCTGCATCAAACAGAAACACCAGCCTTTATACACTGAATACAAATAAGCTCACACTGTCAAATGACTGTTTAAATTATGTTACTATTTGAATTAGTATTTTAACAGAAGCTAACAAATATATTGATCGATCCATCTAAACTTACAGTTTACAATCCATAGCATAACATTACAGTAATATGAACCCACTGAACGTTGACAACATGACCATAGATCAGGGCTCTCCAACCCTGTTCCTGGAGAGATATCACCCTGTAGGTTTTAACTCCAACCCTGTTCCTGGAGAGATACCCTCCTGTAGGTTTTAACTCCAACCCTGTTCCTGGAGAGATACCACCCTGTAGGTTTTAACTCCAACCCTGTTCCTGGAGAGATATCACCCTGTAGGTTTTAACTCCAACCCTGTTCCTGGAGAGATACCACCCTGTAGGTTTTAACTCCAACCCTGTTCCTGGAGAGATACCACCCTGTAGGTTTTAACTCCAACCCTGTTCCTGGAGCGATACCACCCTGTAGGTTTTAACTCCAACCCTGTTCCTGGAGAGATACCACCCTGTAGGTTTTAACTCCAACCCTGTTCCTGGAGAGATACCCACCTGTAGGTTTTAACTCCAACCCTGTTCCTGGAGAGATACCACCCTGTAGGTTTTAACTCCAACCCTGTTCCTGGAGAGATACCCTCCTATAGGTTTTAACTCCAACCCTGTTCCTGGAGAGATACCACCCTGTAGGTTTTAACTCCAACCCTGTTCCTGGAGAGATACCACCCTGTAGGTTTTAACTCCAACCCTGTTCCTGGAGAGATACCCTCCTGTAAGTTTTAACTTCAACCCTGTTCCTGGAGAGATACCACCCTGTAGGTTTTAACTCCAACCCTGTTCCTGGAGAGATACCCTCCTGTAGGTTTTAACTCCAACCCTGTTCCTGGAGAGATACCACCCTGTAGGTTTTAACTCCAACCCTGTTCCTGGAGAGATACCACCCTGTAGGTTTTAACTCCAACTCTGTTCCTGGAGAGATACCCTCCTGTAGGTTTTAACTCCAACCCTGTTCCTGGAGAGATACCACCCTGTAGGTTTTAACTCCAACCCTGTTCCTGGAGAGATACCCTCCGTTAGGTTTTCGCTCCAACCCCAGTTGTAACTAATCTGATTCAGTTTATCAACCAGCTAATTATTAGAATCAGGTGTGCTTGATTAGGGTTGAAGTGAAAACTTACAGGATGGTAGCTCTCCAGGAACAGGGTTGGAGTGAAAACTTACAGGCTGGTCATGGCTCACATCAACACCATTATCCCAGAAACCCTAGACCCACTCCAATTTGCATACCGCTCCAACAGATCCACAGATGATGCAATCTCTATTGCACTCCACACTGCCCTTTCCCACCTGGACAAGAGGAACACCTATGTGAGAATGCTATTCATTGACTACAGCTCAGCGTTCAACACCATAGTGCCCTCAAAGATCATCACTAAGCTAAAGATCCTGGGACTAAACACCTCCCTCTGCAACTGGATCCTGGACTTCCTGACGGGCCGCCCCCAGGTGGTAAGGGTAGGTAACAACACATCTGCCACACTGATCCTCAACACGGGGGCCCCTCAGGTGTGCGTGCTCAGTCCCCTCCTGTACTCCCTGTTCACCCATGACTGCATGGCCAGGCACGACTCCAACACCATCATTAAGTTTGCCAACGACACAACAGTGGTAGGCCTGATCACCGACAACGATGAGACAGCCTATAGGGAGGAGGTCAGAGACCTGGCCATGTGGTGCCAGGATAACAACCTCTCCCTCAACGTGACCAAGACAAAGGAGATGATTGTGGACTACAGGAAAAAAAAGAGGACTGAGCACGCCCCCATTCTCATCGACGGTGCTGTAGTGGAACAGGTTGAGAGCTTCAAGTTCCTTGGTGTCCACATCACCAACGAACTATCATGGTCCAAACACACCAAGACAGTCGTGAAGAGGGCACGACAAAGCCTATTCCCCCTCAGGAGACTGAAAAGATTTGGCATGGGTCCTCAGATCCTCAAAAAATTCTACAGCTGCACCATCGAGAGCATCCTGACTGGTTGCGTCACCGCCTGGTATGGCAACTGCTTGGCCTCCGACCGCAAGGCACTACAGAGGGTAGTGCGTACGGCCCAATACATCACTGGGGCCAAGCTTCCTGCCATCCAGGACCTCTATACCAGGTGGTGTCAGAGGAAGGCCCTCAAAATTGTCAAAGACTCCAGCCACCCTAGTCATAGACTGTTCTCTCTGCTACCGCATGGCAAGCGGTACCGGAGTGCCAAGTCTAGGTCCAAAAGACTTCTCAACAGCTTCTACCCCCAAGCCATAAGTCTCCTGAACAGCTAATCATGGCTACCCGGACTATTTGCACTGCCCACCCACCCCATATTTTTACGCTGCTGCTACTCTGTTAATTATTTATGCATAGTCACTTTAACTCTACCCACATGTACATATTACTTCAACTACCTCAACTAGCCGGTGCCCCCGCACATTGACTCTGCACCGGTACCCCCCTGTATATATATAGCCTCCCTACTGTTATTTTATTTTACTTCTGCTCTTTTTTCTCAACACTTTTTTGTTGTTGTTTTATTTTACTTTTTTATTAAAAATAAATGCACTGTTGGTTAAGGGCTGTAAGTAAGCATTTCACTGTAATGTCTGCACCTGTTGTATTCGGCACATGTGCCCAATAAAATTTGATTTGATTTGATTTGAGTACGGTAGCTCTCCAGGAACAGGGTTGGAGTTAAAACCTACAGGAGGGTATCTCTCCAGGAACAGGGTTGGAGTTAAAACCTACAGGAGGGTAGCTCTCCAGGAACAGGGTTGGAGTTAAAACCTACAGGAGGGTATCTCTCCAGGAACAGGGTTGGAGTTAAAACCTACAGGAGGGTATCTCTCCAGGAACAGGGTTGGAGTTAAAACCTACAGGAGGGTATCTCTCCAGGAACAGGGTTGGAGTTAAAACCTACAGGAGGGTATCTCTCCAGGAACAGGGTTGGAGTTAAAACCTACAGGAGGGTATCTCTCCAGGAACAGGGTTGGAGTTAAAACCTACAGGAGGGTATCTCTCCAGGAACAGAGTTGGAGAGCCCTGGTCTAGATACACTGGATGGTTCCACATTGACCTTGAAATAATGAATGATCCTTAGGGACTACAGTATTTCAACTGGTCAAGCGGTCAAACGCTGTGCTTCAACATTTTAAAATGTTTTTTTTAAACTCAATGTGGTGTTAGTGACATCACTTCATAAAGCTGGAGAGATTATTATCTTGGTTGAAGTGGAGTAGTGTCTTTCAGAACCCTTCAGATTTAAAGACTAGTAAAGGAGCAGAAGACTGGTCTATACAAATTGACTAGTACAAAACTAATGGTTGACTTTGTGTCGCTTTTCACTCTGTACTAGCAGGAAGGGAACTAATGTTTAGTCTCAGTTAATAGAGGTGACCTACTCAGATGGCTGTAGAAAATGAGCAGGTTTTCCAGAGATCCCGGTTGGAAGATTCCCGGAATCAGGAGGAAATAAGCAAGAAATCTGAAATCTTCCAACCACCCTATCATTAGATCAGATCAGAATACTCTTTATGACTAGATCAGAAGGATGTACTGCTGTCCCTCAGATAGAAGAGGTGACCTGGGTCTCTTTATGACTAGATCAGAAGGATGTACTGCTGTCCCTCAGATAGAAGAGGTGACCTGGGTCTCTTTAGGACTAGATCAGAAGGATGTACTGCTGTCCCTCAGATAGAAGAGGTGACCTGGGTCTCTTTATGACTAGATCAGAAGGATGTACTGCTGTCCCTCAGATAGAAGAGGTGACCTGGGTCTCTTTAGGACTAGATCAGAAGGATGTACTGCTGTCCCTCAGATAGAAGAGGTGACCTGGGTCTCTTTATGACTAGATCAGAAGGATGTACTGCTGTCCCTCAGATAGAAGAGGTGACCTGGGTCTCTTTAGGACTAGATCAGAAGGATGTACTGCTGTCCCTCAGATAGAAGAGGTGACCTGGGTCTCTTTAGGACTAGATCAGAAGGATGTACTGCTGTCCCTCAGATAGAAGAGGTGACCTGGGTCTCTTTAGGACTAGATCAGAAGGATGTACTGCTGTCCCTCAGATAGAAGAGGTGACCTGGGTCTCTTTATGACTAGATCAGAAGGATGTACTGCTGTCCCTCAGATAGAAGAGGTGACCTGGGTCTCTTTAGGACTAGATCAGAAGGATGTACTGCTGTCCCTCAGATAGAAGAGGTGACCTGGGTCTCTTTAGGACTAGATCAGAAGGATGTACTGCTGTCCCTCAGATAGAAGAGGTGACCTGGGTCTCTTTAGGACTGGGTCAGGTTAAGATAGAGGTGGTGAGGTGAAGATGTACTGCTCTAGAAGAACACATCAGAAGACTGTGCTGTAATACTCTCCCGGAGATAGACAATGTGATCTGTGTCAACCCGTTAGAGTCCTCTCTGCTGTAGGAGTTAAGGGAGGACTGTTCCAGCTCCACCGCTAGTCATACCAGCCTCCCCCTCCCTCTGTCCCTCCTGCCCTCTCCCCCGGGCCGTTGGTGGACAGGTGTAGCTCTTCACTCGACTCCCCCCCTGGCTGTTGCCCCCGACCCCCCTCCCCCCCTGGCTGTTACCCCTGACCCCCCTCCCCCCCTGGCTGTTACCCCCTCCCCCCCTCCCCCCCGGGCAGCAATAGTCCCTGAAGCAGCGTTTGAAGTTCTCATCCAGGAAGGCGTAGAGAATGGGGTTGAGGCTGCTGTTGGTGTAACCCAGGGCAACGCAGAAGAAGTAGGCCGCCATGACGGGCGTGGTCTCGAGAACGTCACCGGAGGGCGCCAGCGCCTTAACCAGGATAAAGATGTGGATAGGCGTCCAGCAGACTACGAACACTGCTACCACCACCAAAACCAGCCGGGTGATCCGCCGCAGGTTCCGGTCCTTCTCCCGGGAGCCAGAGAGCAGTCGCACGCTCTTCAGACGCAGCACCATTAGGGTATAACACACACTGACGATGAGGAGGGGTGCCACGAAGCCGAAGATGAACACGCAGACCTTCATCACTCTGTCCCAGTAGATATAGGGGTCAGGGAACTGGAGGGCACACTCTGTAGTACCTAGAGATAGACAGTAATATTAACATTAACCCTAACTAAACCTAACTAACCCTAACTAACCTTAACTAACCCTAACTAACCCTAACTAACCCTAACTAACCTTAACTAACCCTAACTAACCTTAACTAACCCTAACTAACCTTAACTAACCCTAACTAACCCTAACTAACCTTAACTAACCCTAACTAACCTTAACTAACCCTAACTAACCCTAACTAACCCTAACTGACCCTAACCAACCTCAACTAACCCTAACTAACCCTAACTAACCTTAACTAACCTTAACTAACCATAACTAACCATAACTAACCTTAACTAACCCTAACTAACCCTAACTAACCTTAACTAACCTTGACTAACCTTAACCCTCCCGTTGTCCTTGGGTCAAAATGACCCGCCACTGTGTTGAACCAACTTTATTTAATTTTTATATTTTTTGGATCATTTGTGAGAAGGAGGCAGTGATACTTTCTTTAAAGTCTCACTGCCTCCTTCTCACAAATGATCCCCAAAATATAAAAATTAAATAAAGTTGGTTCAACACAGTGGCGGGTCATTTTGACCCTAGGACAACGGGAGGGTTAACTAACCCTAACTAACCTTAACTAACCCTAACTAACCTTAAATAACCCTAACTAACCTTAACTAACCATAACTAACCTTAACTAACCCTAACTAACCTTAACTAACCCTAACTAACCTTAACTAACCATAACTAACCCTAACTAACCCTAACCAACCTCAACTAACCCTAACTAACCCTAACTAACCCTAACTAACCTTAACTAACCCTAACTAACCTTAACTAACCCTAACTAACCTTAACTAACCCTAAATAACACAAACTAACCCTAAATCTAACTTCTGTATCAGTTAGACAGTGGTCTGATGTATAGACAGTGGTCTGATGTATAGACAGTGGTCTGATGTATAGACAGTGGTCTAGTGTATAGACAGTGGTCTGATGTATAGACAGTGGTCTGATGTATAGACAGTGGTCTGATGTATAGACAGTGGTCTGATGTATCAGTTAGACATTGGTCTGATGTATAGACAGTGGTCTGATGTAGAAAGATAGGTCTGGTGTATAGACAGTCGTCTGGTGTATACAATGTGGTCTGATGTATAGACAGTGTTCTGATGTATAGACAGTGGTCTGATGTTTCAGTTAGACAGTGGTATGATGTATAGACAGTGGTCTGATTTATAGACAGTGGTCTAATGTTTCAGTTAGACAGTGGTCTGATTTATAGACAGTGGTCTGATGTTTCAGTTAGACAGTGGTCTGATTTATAGACAGTAGTCTGATGTTTCAGTTAGACAGTGGTCTGATGTATAGACAGTGGTCTGATGTATAGACAGTGGTCTGATGTAGAAAGATAGGTCTGGTGTATAGACAGTGGTCTGGTGTATACAAAGTGGTCTGATGTATAGACAGTGTTCTGACGTATAGACATTGGTCTGATGTATAGACAGTGGTCTGATTTATAGACAGTGGTCTGATGTTTCAGTTAGACAGTGGTCTGATTTATAGACAGTGGTCCGATGAATCAGTTAGACAGTGGTCTGATGTATAAACAGTGGTCTGATGTATAGACAGTGGTCTGATGTATCAGTTAGACAGTGGTCTGATGTATAGACAGTGGTCTGATGTATCAGTTAGACAGTGTTCTGATGTATAGACAGTGGTCTGATGTATAGACAGTGGTCTGATTTATAGACAGTGGTCTGATTTATAGACAGTGGTCTGATGTATCAGTTAGACAGTGGTCTGATGTATAGACAGTGGTCTGATGTATAGACAGTGTTCTGATGTATAGACAGTGGTCTGATGTATAGACAGTGGTCTGATTTATAGACAGTGGTCTAATGTATGGACAGTGGTTTGATGTATCAGATAGTGGTATGGACAGTGGTCCTCTGTAGCTCAATTGGTAGAGCATGGCGCTTGTAATGCCAGGGTAGTGGGTTCGGTCCCCGGGACCACCCATACGTAAAAATGTATGCACACATGACTGTAAGTCGCTTTGGATAAAAGCGTCTGCTAAATGGCATATTATTATTATTATTATTATTATTATTATCAGACTGACAGCAGTCTCATGTATAGACAGTGGTCTGATGAATCAGTTAGACAATGGTATGATGTATAGACAGTGGTCTGATTTATAGACAGTGGTCTGATTAATCAATTAGACAATGGTCTGATGTATAGACAGTGGTCTATTTATAGACAGTGGTCTGATGTTTCAGTTAGACAGTGGTCTGATTTATAGACAGTGGTATGATGAATCAGTTAGACAGTGGTCTGATGTATAGACAGTGGTCTGATGTATCAGTTAGACAGTGGTCTGATATATCAGTTAGACAGTGGTCTGTTGTATAGACAGTGGTCTGATGAATCAGTTAGACCGTGGTCTGATGTATAGACAGTGGTCTGATGTATAGACAGTGGTCTGATGTATAGACAGTGGTCTGATGCATCAGTTAGACAGTGGTCTGATGTATAGACAGTGGTCTGATGTAGAAAGATAGGTCTGGTGTATAGACAGTCGTCTGGTGTATACAAAGTGGTCTGATGTATAGACAATGTTCTGACGTATAGACATTGGTATGATGTATAGACAGTGGTCTGATTTATAGACAGTGGTCTGATGTATAGACATTGGTCTGATGAATCAATTAGACAATGGTCTGATGTATAGACAGTGGTCTGATTTATAGACAGTGGTCTGATGTTTCAGTTAGACAGTGGTCTGATTTATAGACAGTGGTCTGATGAATCAGTTAGACAGTGGTCTGATGTATAGACAGTGGTCTAATGTATAGACAGTGGTCTGATTTATAGACAGTGGTCTGATGTTTCAGTTAGACAGTGGTCTGATGTATAGACTGTGGTCTGATGTATCAGTTAGACAGTGGTCTGATGTATAGACAGTGGTCTGATGTATAAATAGTGGTCTGATGTATAGACAGTGGTCTGATGTATAGACAGTGGTCTGATGTATAGACAGTGGTCTGATTTATAGACAGTGGTCTGATGTATAGACAGTGGTCTGATGTATAGACAGTGGTCTGATGTATCAGTTAGACAGTGTTCTGATGTATAGACAGTGGTCTGATTTATAGACAGTGGTCTAATGTATGGACAGTGGTTTGATGTATCAGATAGTGGTATGGACAGTGGTCCTCTGTAGCTCAATTGGTAGAGCATGGCGCTTGTAATGCCAGGGTAGTGGGTTCGGTCCCCGGGACCACCCATACGTAAAAATGTATGCACACATGACTGTAAGTCGCTTTGGATAAAAGCGTCTGCTAAATGGCATATTATTATTATTATTATTATTATCAGACTGACAGCAGTCTCATGTATAGACAGTGGTCTGATGAATCAGTTAGACAATGGTATGATGTATAGACAGTGGTCTGATTTATAGACAGTGGTCTGATTAATCAATTAGACAATGGTCTGATGTATAGACAGTGGTCTATTTATAGACAGTGGTCTGATGTTTCAGTTAGACAGTGGTCTGATTTATAGACAGTGGTCTGATGAATCAGTTAGACAGTGGTCTGATGTATAGACAGTGGTCTGATGTATCAGTTAGACAGTGGTCTGATATATCAGTTAGACAGTGGTCTGTTGTATAGACAGTGGTCTGATGAATCAGTTAGACCGTGGTCTGATGTATAGACAGTGGTCTGATGTATAGACAGTGGTCTGATGTATAGACAGTGGTCTGATGCATCAGTTAGACAGTGGTCTGATGTATAGACAGTGGTCTGATGTAGAAAGATAGGTCTGGTGTATAGACAGTCGTCTGGTGTATACAAAGTGGTCTGATGTATAGACAATGTTCTGACGTATAGACATTGGTATGATGTATAGACAGTGGTCTGATTTATAGACAGTGGTCTGATGTATAGACATTGGTCTGATGAATCAATTAGACAATGGTCTGATGTATAGACAGTGGTCTGATTTATAGACAGTGGTCTGATGTTTCAGTTAGACAGTGGTCTGATTTATAGACAGTGGTCTGATGAATCAGTTAGACAGTGGTCTGATGTATAGACAGTGGTCTAATGTATAGACAGTGGTCTGATTTATAGACAGTGGTCTGATGTTTCAGTTAGACAGTGGTCTGATGTATAGACAGTGGTCTGATGTATCAGTTAGACAGTGGTCTGATGTATAGACAGTGGTCTGATGTATAAATAGTGGTCTGATGTATAGACAGTGGTCTGATGAATCAGTTAGACAGTGGTGTGATGTATAGACAGTGGTCTTGTGTACAGACAGTGGTCTGATGTATAGACAATGGTAGGGTGATGTAATTGCTGGAGGTAAACATCACAGCGCAGGGATTTATTATCGGTAAATGCCACAGTGGAATGAGACTGTATGCTAAAGTCAACACTTCCAATATGCTGAAGTCAACACAGTATGACCGAGACTGTATGCTGAAGACAATTCCGGGTTAGGGTATCTGCTGGCGTCGTGCTCGATTGCCGCTTCACCCTGGTACCTGTTTAGTAACAGTGTTTACTCGTCTGTTTTTCATTGAGTGATTGTTTTGTCCACTTTTTAGCCTACTGGGGTTTTTATGACTTTTACAACCTAGTTGGCTGCTAGACTACCTCTGAGTCTGGACTTTGCTGCTGTGATCACCTCCACCTGCCTGGATTCTTCCTCTGATCACTGTTCTCCTGGTTCCCTGACCCACCTCTGGATAATTGATCTATTTTGGATTTTGGACTCTGTGTCAGATGGGTTTTGACTGTGAGTTCTAGTGCTAGCTGGTGAAGGTTGTGTTTCAGATGGGTTCTGACTGTGGATTTTAGTGCTAGTTGGTGAAGGTTGTGTTTGAGATGGGTTCTGACTGTGGTTTCTAGTGCTAGCTGGTGAAGATTGTGTTTCAGATGGGTTTTGACTGTGGGTTCTAGTGCTAGCTGATGAAGGTTGTGTTTCAGATGGGTTCTGACTGTGGGGTTCTAGTGCTAGCAGGTGAAGGTTGTGTTTCAGATGGGTTTTGACTGTGGGTTCTAGTGCTAGCTGGTGAAGGTAGTGTTTCAGATGGGTTTTGACTGTGGGTTCTAGTGCTAGCTGTTGAAGGTTGTGTTTCAGATGGGTTTTGACTGTGGATTCTAGTGCTAGCTGGTGAAGTTTGTGTTTCAGATGGGTTTTGACTGTGGATGCTAGTGCTAGCTGGTGAAGGTTGTGTTTCAGATGGGTTTTGACTGTGGATTCTAGTGCTAGTTGGTGAAAGTTGTGTTTCAGATGGGTTTTGACTGTGGGTTCTAGTGCTAGCTGGTGAAGGTTGTGTTTCAGATGGGTTCTGACTGTGGGTTCTAGTGCTAGCAGGTGAAGGTTGTGTTTCAGATGGGTTTTGACTGTGGGTTCTAGTGCTAGCTGGTGAAGGTAGTGTTTCAGATGGGTTTTGACTGTGGGTTATAGTGCTAGCTGTTGAAGGTTGTGTTTCAGATGGGTTTTGACTGTGGGTTCTAGTGCTAGCTGGTGAAGGTTGTGTTTCAGATGGGTTCTGACTGTGGGTTCTAGTGCTAGCAGGTGAAGGTTGTGTTTCAGATGGGTTTTGACTGTGGGTTCTAGTGCTAGCTGGTGAAGGTAGTGTTTCAGATGGGTTTTGACTGTGGGTTATAGTGCTAGCTGTTGAAGGTTGTGTTTCAGATGGGTTTTGACTGTGGATTCTAGTGCTAGCTGGTGAAGTTTGTGTTTCAGATGGGTTTTGACTGTGGATGCTAGTGCTAGCTGGTGAAGGTTGTGTTTCAGATGGGTTTTGACTGTGGATTCTAGTGCTAGTTGGTGACAGTTGTGTTTCAGATGGGTTTTGACTGTGGGTTCTAGTGCTAGCTGGTGAAGGTTGTGTTTCAGATGGGTTCTGACTGTGGGTTCTAGTGCTAGCTGGTGAAGTTTGTGTTTCAGATGGGTTTTGACTGTGAGATCTAGTGCTAGCTGGTGAAGGTTGTGTTTCAGATTGGTTTTGACTGTGGGTTCTAGTGCTAGCTGGTGAAGGTTGTGTTTCAGATGGGTTTTGACTGTGGGATCTAGTGCTAGCTGGTGAAAGTTGTGTTTCAGATGGGTTTTGACTGTGGGTTCTAGTGCTAGCTGGTGAAGGTTGTGTTTCAGATGGGTTTTGACTGTGGGTTCTAGTGCTAGCTGGTGAAGGTTGTGTTTCAGATGGGTATTGACTGTGGGTTCTATTGCTAGCTGGTGAAGGTTGTGTTTCAGATGGATCTGACTGTGGATTCTAGTGCTAGCTGGTGAAGGTTGTGTTTCAGATGGGTTCTGACTGTGGGTTCTAGTGCTAGCTGGTGAAGGTTGTGTTTCAGATGGGTTTTGACTGTGGGTTCTAGTGCTAACTGGTGAAGGTTGTGTTTCAGATGGGTTTTGACTGTGGGTTCTAGTGCTAGCTGGTGAAGGTTGTGTTTCAGATGGGTTTTGACTGTGAATTCTAGTGTTAGCTGGTGAAGGTTGTGTTTCAGATGGGTTTTGACTGTGGGTTCTAGGGGCTAGCTGGTGAAGGTTGTGTTTCAGATGGGTTCTGACTGTGGATTCTAGTGCTAGCTGGTGAAGGTTGTGTTTCAGATGGGTTCTGACTGTGGGTTCTAGTGCTAGCTGGTGAAGGTTGTATTTCAGATGGGTTCTGACTGTGGATTCTAGTGCTAGCTGGTGAAGATTGTGTTTCAGATGGGTTCTGACTGTGGATTCTAGTGCTAGCTGGTGAAGGTTGTGTTTCAGATGGGTTCTGACTGTGGGTTTTAGTGCTAGCTGGTGAAGGTTGTGTTTCAGATGGGTTCTGACTGTGGATTCTAGTGCTAGCTGGTGAAGGTTGTGTTTCAGATGGGTTCTGACTGTGGGTTCTAGTGCTAGCTGGTGAAGGTTGTGTTTCAGATGGGTTCTGACTGTGGGCTCTAGTGCTAGCTGGTTTAGAGTAGTCTAGTTGGGTTCTGGCTTGCTGCTTTACAGACGGTGGGGGTTTCTGTTTGGATTTATCTGACGTTTTGTTGGATCTAAATCACTGTTATGTACCTGCCCACTGGTTATGTACCTGCCCACTGGCTCCTCTCTGTTCCTCCTGTTATGTACCTGCCCACTGGCTCCTCTCTGTTCCTCCTGTTATGTACCTGCCCACTGGTTATGTACCTGCCCACTGGTTATGTACCTGCCCACTGGCTCCTCTCTGCTCCTCCTGTTATGTACCTGCCCACTGGTTATGTACCTGCCCACTGGCTCCTCTCTGCTCCTCCTGTTATGTACCTGCCCACTGGTTATGTACCTGCCCACTGGCTCCTCTCTGTTCCTCCTGTTATGTACCTGCCCACTGGTTATGTACCTGCCCACTGGCTCCTCTCTGTTCCTCCTGTTATGTACCTGCCCACTGGCTCCTCTCTGCTCCTCCTGTTATGTACCTGCCCACTGGTTATGTACCTGCCCACTGGTTATGTACCTGCCCACTGGCTCCTCTCTGTTCGTCCTGTTATGTACCTGCCCACTGGCTCCTCTCTGTTCGTCCTGTTATGTACCTGCCCACTGGTTATGTACCTGCCCACTGGCTCCTCTCTGTTCCTCCTGTTATGTACCTGCCCACTGGCTCCTCTCTGTTCCTCCTGTTATGTACCTGCCCACTGGCTCCTCTCTGTTCCTCCTGTTATGTACCTGCCCACTGGCTCCTCTCTGCTCCTCCTGTTATGTACCTGCCCACTGGCTCCTCTCTGCTCCTCCTGTTATGTACCTGCCCACTGGCTCCTCTCTGTTCCTCCTGTTATGTACCTGCCCACTGGCTCCTCTCTGTTCCTCCTGTTATGTACCTGCCCACTGGCTCCTTTCTGTTCGTCATGTACCTGCCCACTGGCTCCTCTCTGTTCCTCCTGTTATGTACCTGCCCACTGGCTCCTCTCTGTTCGTCATGTTTGTGCTCTGTCCTGAATTACTGTGATTTATCTCTCCCTGTTTTTTCCAGACTAAAAACTCCCTTGATCTTAATCTCCTGAATAATAACTCTGGGCTCTCCTCTGATGTCCTTATTCCTGCCGGCTCATCATGCATCCTACATAGACACCGCTACCTGCATTGTGGGGCTCATCATCCATCCTACATAGACACCACTACCTGCATTGTGGGGCTCATCATGCATCCTACATAAGACACCACTACCTGCATCGTGGGGCTCATCATGCATCCTACATAAGACACCGCTACCTGCATCATGGGGCTCATCATGCATCCTACATAAGACACCGCTACCTGCATCATGGGGCTCATCATGCATCCTACATAAGACACCGCTACCTGCATCATGGGGCTCATCATGCATCCTACATAAGACACCACTACCTGCATCGTGGGGCTCATCATGCATCCTACATAGACACCGCTACCTGCATCATGGGGCTCATCATACATCCTACATAGACACCGCTACCTGCATCATGGGGCTCATCATGCATCCTACATAGACACCGCTACCTGCATCGTGGGGCTCATCATGTATCCTACATAAGACACCGCTACCTGCATCGTGGCTCACGTTGGAACTGGTCTGTCAACTATACTACTGGTAGCAACATTAACTCTCTCTGGTCTCACTCGTATCCTGCTCCCAATCCGTCGCCTCATACTGCCTGCCCCCTCTTCATCCTACCACTATCCATAAACCCCAAGATGGCATAGCAGTGCGGTCGTGTACTCTGTGTGTGTCCGTGTAAATAGTGTGTTTTTGTATATTTTTTTTATATTCCGTACATATTTCCCTATCACACTTTTCATCCTTCTACTAAATATACTTTCCTGCAACCCGCCTCACTCAATGTGGAACGGATTCTATTATTGACTTACCTTTTATCTAGAATCTCCAGTTGAAACTAGCTAGCCAGCTAACTAGCTACTTGCTATTAGCCACCGTTAGCGGTTTACACCCAGAACATCGGATTATCTGCCAGAATAACTGAATCACTGGACATTAACACCGGATCGCAACTAGCTAGCCGCAACCGAATGGATGTTGCTGTTGGCTAATCACCACTGCCCCCGAAGCAAGCACCAGTTAGCTTTGAGCTAGCCTCAAACCAGGCCCATATCCCGGCTACCTACCTCTCTGTCTACCGGACGGGATTAGCCAGCTAACTAGCTACTTGCTATTAGCCACCGTTAGCGGTTTTTCACCATTGTCCGTGGCCTGCACTACCTACCAGCCAGCTCTAGCCTGGACTATTATTCGGCCAGTCTGCACTGTCTGCACAGCGTGTTATCGACCCAGAACATATCGGTTTTTCTGCCGGAATCACTGAATCACTGGACCTTTAACACTGGATAATCGCAACTAGCTAGCTGCAACCGAATGAACGTTGTTGTTGGCTAATCAGCCTTGAGCTAGCCTTGACTCAGGCCCATCTCCCGGCTATCTACCTCTCTGTCAACCGGACGGGACCTCCTAGAGTCGACACAGAGCCTCGCCGATCCATTACGACTGGTCTGCCGACGTAATCATCTGTGGTTTCAACAGGCTTCCCGTTGCGACGACCTCAAAGATCCATCTGCTAGCCCCGGCCCGCTAGCACACGCAAACAACAGCCATGCTTCCTGCTAGCCTGTGCTGTAGCACCAATTCGAACTGCTCTCGGACTCACATATTGCTGTTCACTGGACCTTATGATCACTCAGCTGCACAGATGATGCCTGCTGGACTGTTCCTTTACACGGTACCCTGTCCTGTTTATCTGTTTAGCCTCAGCCCAAACTTTCATCGCCATTACCAGTTGTTGTCTTAGCTCTCTCGAATAACACCTGTGATTGCTTTATGCCTCTCTCCCATGTAAATATGCCTTGCCTATTGCTATTCCAGTTAGTTCTTATTATACAATTTCACTGTAAAGCGGTAGGTAGAGGATGCCTGGTTGTTCTTTAAAAGTGCTTTCCTCTCAATCTAAAATAAAATTCAGAACTAAGAACAGATATAGCCCCTGGTTCTCCTCAGACTTGACTGCCCATGACCAGCACAAAAACATCCTGTGGCGTACTGCATTAGCATCGAATAGCCCCCGCGATATGCAACTTTTCAGGGAAGTTAGGAACCAATATACACAAGCAGTTAGGAAAACAAATGCTAGCTTTTTCAAACAGAAATGTGCATCCTGTAGCACTAACTCCAAAATGTTTTGGGACACTGTAAAGTCCATGGAGAATAAGAGCACTTCCTCCCAGCTGCCCACTGCACTGAGGCTATGAAACACTATCACCACAATAATCTACAATAAGCGAGAATTTCAACAAGCATTTTGCTACGGCTGGTCATGCTTTCCACCTGGCTACCACTACCCCGGTCACCAGCTCTGCACTCTCCGCTGCAACTTGCCCCCCCCCCCCCCCCCCGCTTCTCCTTCACACAAATTCAGACAGCTGATGTTCTGAGAGAGCTGCAAAATCTGGACCCCTACAAATCATCTGGCCTAGACAATCTGGACCCTTTCTTTCTAAAATTAGCCGCCAAAATTGTCGCGACCCCTATTACTAGCCTGTTCAACCTCTCTTTCGTAACGTCTGAGATCCCCAGAGATTGGAAAGCTGCCGCGGTCATCCCCCTCTTCAAAGGGGGTGACACTCTAGATCCAAACTGTTACAGACCTATATCCATCCTGCCCTGCCTTTCGAAAGTTTTTGAAAGCCAAGTTAACAAACAGATCACCGACCATTTCGAATCACACCGTACCTTCTCCACTATGCAATCCGGTTTACGAGCTTGTCATGGGTGCACCTCAGCCACGCTCAAGGTCCTAAACGATATTATAACCGCAATCGATAATAGACAGTACTGTGCAGCCGTCTTCATCGACCTGGCCAAGGCTTTCGACTCTGTCAACCACCGTGATTCTCAGATCCACCGCTACGCAGACGACACCATTTTGTATACATCTGGCCCTTCATTGGACACTGTGTTAACAAACCTCCAAACGAGCTTCAATGCCATACAACACTCCTTCAGTAGCCTCCAACTGCTCTTAAACACTAGTAAAACTAAATGCATGCTCTTCAATCGAACGCTGTTTGCACCCGCCCACCCGACTAGAATCACTACTCTCGGCTGGTCTGACCTAGAATATGTGGACAACTACAAATACCTAGGTGTCTGGCTAGACTGTAAACTCTCCTTCCAGACTCACATTAAGCATCTCCAATCCAAAGTTAAATCTAGAATCGGCTTCCTATTTCACAACAAAGCCTCCTTCACTCATGCTGCCAAACATGCCCTCATAAAACTATGTAGTCTATCACAGTGCCATCCGTTTTGTCACCAAAGCCCCATATACTACCCACCACTGTGACCTGTACGCTCTTGTTGGCTGGTCCTCACTACATATTCGTCGTCAAACCCACTGGCTCCAGGCCATCTATAAATCACTACTAGGCAAATCCCCGCCTTATCTTAGCTCATTGGTCACCATAGCAACACCCACCCGTAGTATGCACTCCAGCAGGTATATCTCACTGGTCATCCCCAAAGCCAACACCTCCTTTGGCCGCCATTCCTTCCAGTTCTCTGCTGCCAATGACTGAAACGAACTGCAAAAATCTCTGAAGCTGGAGACTCTTATCTCCCTCACTAACTTTAAGCATCAGTTGTCAGAGCACCTTACCGATCACTGCACCTGTACACAGCCCATCTGAAATTAGCCCACCCAACTACCTCATCCCCATATTGTTATTTATTTTGCTCATTTGCACCCCAGTATCTCTATTTGCATATCATTCCAGTGTTAATACTAATTGTAATTATTTTGCACTATGGCCTATTTATTGCCTTACCTCCATAACTTACTACATTTGCACACACTGTATATATATTTTCTATTGTGTTATTGACTGTACGTTTTGTTTACCCCATATGTAACTCTGTGTTGTTTTTGTTTTTACCGCACTGCTTTGCTTTATCTTGGCCAGGTCGCAGTTGTATATAATATATAAATATAACAAGTTGTAAATGAGAACTTGTTCTCAACTGGCTTCTTACCTGGTTAAATAAAGGTGACTTTTTTTTGTACAAAAATAAATAAACTCACCTCTCAGTCTCACAGTACTAACTTTGCTCTCCTCAACACTCGAGCAAGCTAGTCTTCCTCCTCCTAACTGAAACCTGGCAACAACCTGGTGATTTATTTTCTCTTAACCAAGCTACTCCTGCTGGTTATGTCTACCTGTATCACCCCGCTCCACCCCACTGTACTGTACAACTCTACGATCTAAATAACTCAACTGTCTCTCTCTACGGTCTCCTCATTTCAATACATTGCCTATAAACCATCCTGCTCCATGACCCCTATCCTTGTGTACTGTCCTCCTAAAGCTAATGAATTGTTCCTGTCTGAGCTACTCACCATAGCTGTCCACTCTCCCCCTGCTGTGGGGTAGAGTGGTTAAGAGCGTTGTGCCAGTACACGAAAGGTCGCTGGTTCTAATCCCCGAGCCGACTAGGTGAAAAATCGGCCGATGTGCCCTTGAGCAAGGCACTGAACCCTAATTGCTCCTGTAAGTCGCTCTGGATAAGAGCGTCTGCTAAATTACTAAAATGTCAAATGTAATGCTGTCTGTTGCTTGGCGATGTGAATATTCACATGGACTCATCAAACTCAAAACTTGCCTCTGATTTCATTGCAGTTCTGGACTGTTTCAATATTACCCAACATGTCAATGTTCCCAGTCACATCAAGGGACATATACAAGACCTCATCTGCTCTGTTGACCTCAACCTCCTCCCTGTTCCCAGTGTCTGACCTCAACCTAACTCATATGACCTCCTCCCTGTTCCCAGTGTCTGACCTCAACCTAACTCATATGACCTCCTCCCTGTTCCCAGTGTCTGACCTCAACCTAACTCATATGACCTCCTCCCTGTTCCCAGTGTCTGACCTCAACCTAACTCATATGACCTCCTCCCTGTTCCCAGTGTCTGACCTCAACCTAACTCATATGACCTCCTCCCTGTTCCCAGTGTCTGACCTCAACCTAACTCATATGACCTCCTCCCTGTTCCCAGTGTCTGACCTCAACCTAACTCATATGACCTCCTCCCTATTCCCAGTGTCTGACCTCAACCTAACTCATATGACCTCCTCCCTGTTCACAGTGTCTGAACTCAAGCTTCAGTGACAGGACCTTCAGACCAGCTATTCTACAGCAAGTCTAACAGTTGAAAAGCGCTATCTAAGTGCCTTGTATTATTATTATTGATCAGGTTCTGTCTGTCCTGCCTGTGTTCCAGACAGCAGATTGACCAATCAGGAAGCTTTATACAGCTTATTGACCAATCAGAAAGCTTTATACAGCTTATTGACCAATCAGCATCTTTCAGTGGCTGAGTGGAACAGATCCATTATATGTATTTGTCACCTTAAAACACAAATAACCAATAATGCACATCTCCTTCTCATACTAAGCCTCTACTCCTCGACAGACATAAACCCACATCGACCCCTAAATCCTAAACCATACGCACTGACAGGATTCAATAGGTAATCAACATGACTGTGTGTGTGTGTGTGTGTGTGTGTGTGTGTGTGTGTGTGTGTGTGTGTGTGTGTGTGTGTGTGTGTGTGTGTGTGTGTGTGTGTGTATGTGTGTGTGTGTGTGTGTGTGTGTGTGTGTGTGTGTGTGTGTGTGTGTGTGTGTGTGTGTGTGTGTGTGTGTGTGTGTGTGTGTGTGTGTGTGTGTGTGTGTGTGTGTGTGTGTGTGTGTGTGTGTGTGTGTGCGTGTGCGCGTACCGTTGTTGTTCTGTGTGCTGCCCAGCACCAGAGCAGGGATGCCGGCAGCGGAGGATGAAACCCAGATGAGAATGTTGATGATCTTCGCTTTCACAGGAGTTCTAAAGTCCAGAGCCTTGACCGGGTGACACACAGCTACATATCGATCCACTGACATCATGGTCAGAGTGAAGATGCTGGTGAACATGTTGTAGTAGTCTATACTGATAAACACCTTACACACCACCTGGAGGAGAGGATCATTATTTTCCATAGAAATGTGCTTTATGCCATTTAAAATCAGCTCACCACAGGACAGGCAGAGTAGGTTATCTACCAGACATTATGCTATTGAGGTACAGTATTCTGCCACCTCTCCAAAAGGCCAGGAGTTGAGCAGGTAGTCAGGACTCTGAAAGATTTAGAAGTTAGGGGTTAGGGTTACCTCTCCGAAGGGCCAGGAGTTGATCAGGTAGTCAGTACTCTGGAAAGGCATGGTGGTGGTCACGAGGGCATCGGCTACAGCCAGATTAAAGATGTAGATGTTGGTGGCCGTATTCATCTTAGTGTACCTGATCAGACAGAGATAATAGGACTTTATTAGTGGTGTACCTGATCAGACAGAGATAATAGGACTTTATTAGTGGTGTACCTGATCAGACAGAGATAATAGGACTGTATTAGTGGTGTACCTGATCAGACAGAGATAATAGGACTGTATTAGTGGTGTACCTGATCAGACAGAGATAATAGGACTGTATTAGTGGTGTACCTGATCAGACAGAGATAATCAAATCAAATCAAATCAAATCAAAATGTATTGGCCACATGCGCCGAATACAACAGGTGCAGACATTACAGTGAAATGCTTACTTACAGCCCTTAACCAACAGTGCATTTCTTTTTAACAAAAAAAGTAAAATAAAACAACAACAAAAAAAGTGTTGAGAAAAAAAGAGCAGAAGTAAAATAAAATAACAGTAGGGAGGCTATATATACAGGGGGGTACCGGTGCAGAGTCAATGTGCGGGGGCACCGGCTAGTTGAGGTAGTTGAGGTAATATGTACATGTGGGTAGAGTTAAAGTGACTATGCATAAATAGTTAACAGAGTAGCAGCAGCGTAAAAGGATGGGGTGGGGGGGCAGTGCAAATAGTCCGGGTAGCCATGATTAGCTGTTCAGGAGTCTTATGGCTTGGGGGTAGAAGCTGTTGAGAAGTCTTTTGGACCTAGACTTGGCACTCCGGTACCGCTTGCCGTGCGGTAGCAGAGAGAACAGTCTATGACTAGGGTGGCTGGAGTCTTTGACAATTTTGAGGGCCTTCCTCTGACACCGCCTGGTATAGAGGTGCTGGATGGCAGGAAGCTTGGCCCCAGTGATGTACTGGGCCGTACGCACTACCCTCTGTAGTGCCTTGCGGTCGGAGGCCAAGCAGTTGCCATACCAGGCGGTGATGCAACCAGTCAGGATGCTCTCGATGGTGCAGCTGTAGAATTTTTTGAGGATCTGAGGACCCATGCCAAATCTTTTCAGTCTCCTGAGGGGGAATAGGCTTTGTCGTGCCCTCTTCACGACTGTCTTGGTGGGTTTGGACCATGATAGTTCGTTGGTGATGTGGACACTAAGGAACTTGAAGCTCTCAACCTGTTCCACGAAAGCCCCGTCGATGAGAATGGGGGCGTGCTCAGTCCTCTTTTTTTTTCCTGTAGTCCACAATCATCTCCTTTGTCTTGGTCACGTTGAGGGAGAGGTTGTTGTCCTGGCACCACACGGCCAGGTCTCTGACCTCCTCCCTATAGGCTGTCTCATCATTGTCGGTGATCAGGCCTACCACTGTTGTGTCGTCGGCAAACTTAATGATGGTGTTGGAGTCGTGCCTGGCCATGCAGTCATGGGTGAACAGGGAGTACAGGAGGGGACTGAGCACGCACCCCTGAGGGGCCCCCGTGTTGAGGATCAGTGTGGCAGATGTGTTGTTACCTATCCTTACCACCTGGGGGCGGCCCGTCAGGAAGTCCAGGATCCAGTTGCAGAGGGAGGTGTTTAGTCCCAGGATCCTTAGCTTAGTGATGAGCTTAGAGGGCACTATGGTGTTGAATGCTGAGCTGTAGTCAATGAATAGCATTCTCACGTAGGTGTTCCTCTTGTCCAGGTGGGAAAGGGCAGTGTGGAGTGCAATAGAGATTGCATCATCTGTGGATCTGTTGGGGCGGTATGCAAATTGGAGTGAGTCTAGGGTTTCTGGGATAATGCTGCTGATGTGAGCCGTGACCAGCTTTTCAAAGCACTTCATGGCTACAGACGTCAGTGCTACGGGTCGGTAGTCATTTAGGCAGGTTATCTTAGAGGCCTTGGGCACGGGGACTATGGTGGTCTGCTTGAAACATGTTGGTATTACAGACTCAGTCAGGGACATGTTGAAAATGTCAGTGAAGACACTTGCCAGTTGGTCAGCACATGCTCGGAGTACACGTCCTGGTAATCCGTCTGGCCCTGCGGCCTTGTGAATGTTGACCTGCTTAAAAGTCTTACTCACATCGGCTACGGAGAGCGTGATCACATAGTCATCCGGAACAGCTGGTGCTCTCATGCATGCTTCAGTGTTGCTTGCCTCGAAGCGAGCATAGAAGTGGTTTAGCTCGTCTGGTAGGCTTGTGTCACTGGGCAGCTCGCGGCTGTGCTTCCCTTTGTAGTCTGTAATAGTTTTCAAGCCCTGCCACATCCGACGAGCGTCAGAGCCAGTGTAGTACGATTCAATCTTAGTCCTGTATTGACTCTTTGCCTGTTTGATGGTTCGTCGGAGGGCATAGCGGGATTTCTTATAAGCGTCCGGGTTAGAGTCCCGCTCCTTGAAAGCGGCAGCTCTACCCTTTAGCTCAGTGCGGATGTTTCCTGTAATCCATGGCTTCTGGTTGGGGTATGTACGTACGGTCACTGTGGGGACGACATCATCAATGCACTTATTGATGAAGCCAGTGACTGATGTGGTGTACTCCTCAATGCTGTCTGAAGAATCCCAGAACATGTTCCAGTCTGTGCTAGCAAAACAGTCCTGTAGCTTAGCATCTGCGTCATCTGACCACTTTTTTATTAACCGAGTCACTGGTGCTTCCTGCTTTAGTTTTTGCTTATAAGCAGGAATCAGGAGGATAGAGTTATGGTCAGATTTGCCAAATGGAGGGCGAGGGAGAGCTTTGTATGCGTCTCTGTGTGTGGAGTAAAGGTGGTCCAGAGTTTTTTTTCCTCTGGTTGCACATTTAACATGCTGGCAGAAATTAGGTAGAACGGATTTAAGTTTCCCTGCATTAAAGTCCCCGGCCACTAGGAGCGCTGCATCTGGATGAGCGTTTTCCTGTTGATTTATGGCCTTATACAACTCATTCAGTGCAATCTTAATGCCAGCATTGGTTTGTGGTGGTAAATAGACAGCTATGAAAAATATAGATGAAAACTCTCTTGGTAAATAGTGTGGTCTACAGCTTATCATAAGATACTCTACCTCAGGCGAGCAAAACCTCGAGACTTCCTTAGTATTTGATTTTGTGCACCAGCTGTTGTTTACAAATATACACAGACCACCACCCCTTGTCTTACCGGAGTCAGCCGTTCTATCCTGCCGATGTAGCGTATAGCCCGCTAGCTGTATGTTATCCATGTCGTCGTTCAGCCACGACTCAGTGAAACATAATATATTACAGTTTTTAATGTCCCGTTGATAGGATAACCGTAATCTTAGGTCATCCAATTTGTTCTCCAATGATTGAAGATTGGCTAATAGGATTGATGGGAGCGGCAGTTTACTCGCTCGCAGTCGGATCCTTACAAGGCACCCCGACCTACGTCCACGATATCTCCGTCTCTTCCTCATGCGAATGACGGGGATTTGGGCCTTGTCGGGTGTCTGTATGATATCCTTCGCGGCCGCCTCGTTGAAGAAAGAATCTTCGTCCAATACGAGGTGAGTAATCGCTGTCCTGATATCCAGAAGCTCTTTTTGGTTATAAGAGACGATGGCAGAAACATTATGTACAAAATAAATTACAAATAACGCGGAAAAACACACATAATAGTACAATTGGTTAGAGGGCTGTAAAACGGCAGCCATCTTCTCCGGCGCTGTTCGTCACAATAATAGGATCAGACAGAGATAATAGGACTTTATTAGTGGTGTACCTGATCAGACAGAGATAATAGGACTGGGGGGGGGGGTATACAGAAGATAGCCCTATTTGGTAAAAGACCAAGTCCATATTATGGCAAGAACAGCTCAAATAAGCAAAGAGAAACGACAGTCCATCATTACTTTAAGACATGAAGGTCAGTCAACACGGAAAATGTCAAGAACTTTTAACGTTTCTTCAAGTGCAGTCGCAAAAACCATCAAGTGCTATGATAAAACTGGCTCTCATGAGGACCGCCACAGGAATGGAAGACCCAGTCTTATCTCTGCTGCAGAGGATAAGTTCATTAGAGTTACCAGCCTCAAAAATTGCAGCCCAAATAAATGCTTCACAGAGTTCAAGTAACAGACACATCTCAACATCAACTGTTCAGAGGAGACTGTGTGAATCAGGCCTTCATGGTCGAATTGCTGCAAAGAAACCACTACTAAAGGACACCAATAAGAAGAAGAGACCTGCTTGGGCCAAGAAACACGAGCAATGGACATTAGACCGGTGGAAATGTGTACAAATTGGAGATTTTTGGTTCCAACCGCTGTGTCTTTGTGAGACGCGGTGTGGGTGAACGGATGATCTCCACATGTGTAGTTCCCACCGTAAAGCATGGAGGAGGAAGTGTTATGGTGTGTTTTTTTTTGCTGGTGACACTGTCTGTGATTTATTTAGAATTCAAGGCCTACTTATCCATCACGGCAACCACAACATTCTACAGTGATACGCCCTCCCATCTGGTTTGGGCTTAATGGGACAATCATTTGTTTTTCAACAGGACAATGACCCAACACACCTCCAGGCTGTGTAAGGGCTATTTTACAAAGAAGGAGAGAGATGGAGTGCTGCATCAGATGACCTGGCCTCCACAATCCCCCGACCTCAACCCAATTGAGATGGTTTGGGATGAGTCGGACTGCAGAGTGAAAGAAAATCAGCCAACAAGTGCTCAGCACTATAGTTTGTTAACAAGAAATGTGTTGAGTGGTTGAAAATCTAGTTTTAATGACTCCAACCTAAGTGTATGTAAACTTCCGACTTCAACTGTATATATATATATATATATATATATATATATATATATATATATATATATATATATATATGGGATGTATAGACAATATGGACAGTATATGGATAGAATATATAGTATATCTGAAGAATAGTATATGTACAGCAATAGTTAAATAGGATAGTCTTTGACTAGAATACAGTATATACATATGACGTGGATACAACAGTATGTAAACATTAAACAGACTAGTCTTCCATGTCTATGTACATAGGGCAGCAGTCTCTAAGGTGCATGGTAGAGTAACCAGGTGGTAGCCGTCTTGTGGGGCAGACCGCACTACCCTCTGGAGAGCCCTGTGGTTGTGGACGGTGCAG